GTCTCTGGCTGCTTGGCCTTCTCTGCTCCCTTTTCCTGGAAACTCTTGAAAGGCATTGGCAAAAATTCAGACCTTTTGATGTTGCCCTCTCCCTAGATTTCAGCAGCTAATGTCCATCTCACGGGTTGTCTCCCTGACAGTTGCCTGGACTTTGGATTGGAATGACTGCAGCCCAGCGGCCATGCATTAAGTGGGTCACCTGTGACATAAGGCAGTAACTGAGGAAATGTCTCGTGCTTTTGATGTCAGCAATCAGTTGGTGCTGGTGCTAGTTGAGAAGGAATCTTCTGTCTCTCCCTCTTGTCCCAAGAGTCATCTATTCCAAAGCTGCTTTGCTTACACTCAGGCAGGAGACAGTTTGTAACTGACCAGTGGGAGCAAAGCCACCGCTCTTCACGTTCTGATGTGGAGGTCACATCTCGGTTGTGGATTGCTTGCTCCTCTCCCAGCCAGAAGTTTTCTGATCACAGAAAACAGAAAAAGGAGAGCTGTGAAAAGGCATGTTTGTTTTTTCCCAAATAGCTCAAAACCTTTGAATTTTGGTCTTTATCGAGATTAGATGCATTACTGTTTTAGCTGTTGACTTTCAGGGGACTATGAACTAGAAGAATGTACACTCTTTGATCTGCCTTAAAACTCATTGTAGTATCTTTTGTTTTGTTAGAGAAATATGAGCACACAAGTCTTGTCAGCAAATCTGATGTCTGAGATGTTAGCACTGTCAATATTACTGGCGCTACGACTTCTATTTGTGCCTCTAAGATGGCAAACATTTACTGAGAACTTCTCATGGGCCAGATACTATGCTAAATCATTCACAAGTAACTCATTTGCAAGAATCTCCCAAGAATCCTGGGCACAAGGATTAGTTAGCTCCTCACGATAGGCGAAAAGAATTTGGGCTTAGCAAGATAATGCAATGTTCACAAGGGTCACAGAGTTTGTACATGAGAAATCCAGGATCGAAGCAGGTTTGCTGATTCCAAGGTGGTGCCTTTAAATGCTGCAGTACACAGGCTCTCATCAGGAATAAGTAAAGTGAGAGCCACGATTTATGGGTTCCTCACGTGCACGAAGGCTGCAGTAAAGTGGTCAGAACCCAGGCTCGGAAGCCAGATATGCAAGGGGTGCGGTCTCAGTCCCTATTTCCTCATCTGTAAAACAGGACAAATGATATGTACTCACCTCACAATGTTGTTATGACAACGAGATGAGATGAGCCATCAGTGAGAATGAGACCACAGAATGAGAAGTTGAATGTGTGCTCAGAACTGTGCCTGATGCTTGACCCTTCAGGGGCTGCAGGAGGAGCTGGGGATAGAGCCACCGAATCAGGGCCCTTGACCTGCTTTTCCAGGAGGGGAGGATGTGTGTCAATTCATCCTCATTTTAAAAAAGTCTAACTCCCTCAGAGATCCTCAGCAGACATTTCATAAGTGTCATGGTCTATGGTCATGTTGTGGGACATGAGTCACCCCGGGTGGGAACAAGAGTGCTCTACCCAGCCAGCCCCACTTAGCATAGAAGAAACATTTTCTTGTGTTACTTTTTTAAACCTTATTTTTTAACCTGACAAGAATGATTTCTGAGTAAAACATCACAGAGAATATTAAGTGAAAAAATCATTCAGAAAACAGTATGGAGTGTATTTTCTCAGTTTTATTAAAATATGTAATAAATATTATATATGACACCTTCAGAGATGCTTCATGCATATTTGTCAAATAAATTGAAAGGATGTGGGGTTGAGGAATGGGCAGACTAAAGAATAATGCACAAAACATGGTCACCTGGTCCTTTGGAAGGAGGGACTAAGGGTAATTCTCAAGGTTTTCATCAGAGACCTGTAAAATGTTTCACACTTTGTGGGCTGTAGGGTCTTTGTCATGACTACTCAACTCAGCGTTTGCAGTGCAAGAGCAGCCAGAGACCATATGAATGGGCTTAATGGGGTTCCAATAAAACTTTATTTAAAAAACAGGCAACAGGCTGGAATTGGCCCACAGCCCATAGTTGGCTAAACCTTAGTCTACATTATAATTTTCTCTAGCTTCCAAATTTATTTTATTTTTCCCAGTTAAAACGTACCTTTATAATAAGGAAAATAGTGTTATTTAATAAAAGAACAGTTACAAAAAAAGTCTTGCAGTAAAATAGGCAACTTCTTATATAGGTTTAGTGTCTGAGAGTTTAAAATAGATTTCTACAGGTGTCATCTTGTTTATTTCTTAACATCCATCCAATTCTCAGAAACAAAGAAAATATGAAAAGCTATGAGCATTTTAAATGTAAATATAAATGCACATTCACTTATCACCAAACGTGAATTTGCCACTGTGAGAGGTGCAGGAGATTCAAGCAAAGTCTTACTTCATTTTACTGGTATTTAAAGACTATGATCTTTCTTCCTTTTTTTTTTTTTCCTTTTTGTCTTTTTTCGTGACCGGCAACGGATCGCAACCCTCAGTGTCGCGCCCGTACCGGACCGGGACCGGCAATGGGACCGCAACCCTCGGTGTTGCGCCCGCACCTCGCTCAGCCAGTGAGCGGCTGGTCTATATGTGGGATCCGAACCCTCGGCGGGAGCGCCGCTGCACTCCCAAGCGGCGCACTGTAGCAGTGCGCCACCGGGCCGGCCCATAAAGACTATGATCTTTCTAGGAAGTAAACCATTTTAGCTTCCATATGGTAGATACTGCACTAAGAGTGGAGACCTCTGAAGCTCGCCTAAGGAATCTGGACAGCGGCTATAGTGGAAGTGCAGGGATTCCAGCTCCAAGCCTGCCCACTCCCTTTTCTAGTGCTGGGGGTGTTAGTCTTCCTTGAATCAGGCTACCTTTGTAAGCAGCATTGTACCTGATGATCCATACTGGTGTGGAGTTAATCCCAGTAGCACTATGCTGCACTGTGCTAACAGAGTTAACCAGTCTGGAATCAAAGCCATGCTCCTTGTTCTCTGGTCTGCTTTGAACTCACACGTGTGAACACGTGGCTTGGCCTGGAGTGGTTTCAGCCTTGCCTTGTCGTGCTCAGTAGACCTGCGATACCCATCCTCCAGCCTGCCTTGTCAATTCTCAGCTTCATGGCAACAGCTTAAGTTCATAGCCTGTTGAACTACAGCTTGTTAATGGATTGAATAAAATGGAGGCATTTAACTTTCTAGATTTTGAGGAAACAGATTTATTTTCAAACTGTGAAATCATATAAAAAAGAAAATGGGTATTTTTAAAGATATATTCAACCTATTAAGTTGCATGGATTTTTCCTCTTAGCCAACCAATTGATTCACTAATCAATTAATTAATAGGATTTGTTGGCCCTCATGTCCAAGTTCCCACAGAAAACCAACCCATGGCTACTGTTAGGATAGGAAGAGCTTTTCACTGGGTTGATGGATTTTTTTGTTAAATTATTATTAGTAGTAGTAGTATATTATTACCAAAGTATCTGGCTATTTTATGAGAAACAAATTGTCAAAATATTTGCACCTTATAGTAGCCTCTGAAATTTTCAGACTTGGGAGAAAGTGTAAGATAAAATGGGTTTTTATACCATTGATACTTGTCCTAGCTCAGATTATGCAGGTCTTACTCAATTTAGATAAACAGACTGCCTGCTGGTGTCTGATCCACATCCGTGCAAGCTCAGTCCTGGACAGTCAGTGAGGCTTCACATTTTAGAAACAATTGAATTCTTTTAAAATACTGCGGTAATGGCTGTGGGTTTCTTGGGGGCACAGTGCCTTAACTCTTTAACACTGCATTTTTCTTGGTGCCCATCTGGCGTGGTTTATGTGCTCTTGAAGGCCAGAAAATCTTGGGTGAATTGGAGTATAACATTGATGACTGTTTAAAAATAAAAGATCATATGAAGAAGGCACTCTTTTATTTCCCACTTGATTCTACTTCCCATCTCCATACATGAGAAGACAGACCTTCAAAAGATATTAAAGGAAGAAAAGGAAAAGAGGAGAGATGGGACAGGAGTAAGCAAACAAACAAACAAACAAACAAATAAATAAATATGCTCCTTTAATTTCTAGGAGCCCCATCCTAGTAAACTTTTTAAAATTTAAGGTTCTTTTAAAATTCCTCCTTAATGAGTCCCACTGGACTTGAAATAGTTAAAAAATGTTAGGAGAGATGGTGGAAGATTTTTAAATCATGTTGCACTCCAGGGGCTTAGGGAAGGTGAGGTTTTGAATGGGAAGCGACCACCCAGAAGGTGCATTGGCTTTATTTTAATAATTGCCATATTAAGACTGGTATGGCAGGAAGTATTGAAATTGGATTTTGACTCATTTGGCTTCTGGGTGTCGGTCCTTCTGCCTAGGGGATTTTGGTATACACAGATCTGTGAGAACGGTGGCTTCGTGCTCAGAAAAGAACAATGGCTCGTGGGGGGGTGGTGGGCTTGAATAGGTGGGTGAGATCCAATGGTGGCTGCCAGCATGGTTTGTGAACAAACACCTCCGTTTTTGAAGTCCTTTCCTTCCTCTGTGCTTCTTGCGTTGGGATCTCAGATGACCTTGAAGTACCCCCTGCAGTCCCCCAGGAGAGGCTGTCTGTCCACAGCCGGGAAGACTGCCCTGCCCGTCTGTATTCCAGGCACTAGAGTGGATTGAAAATAAACTTGCCTCTCCAAATATTTATGGGTCTCAGAGGAAAAAGAAAAATCAATACACGTTTTCTTTAAACCTCTTGTAGAGCTGTCATGCCTGACTGCTTTGCCAAGATTTAACTAGAAGCTTCAGCATTAATTTGGGGCCTATGTTTTGTGAAATCCACTTTTTGCCTCCTGCAACGAAGACTAACGTTTATACACATCAGTGTCAACATTAAGATGTCTTAAATTTCTGTACTTGCTAGAGAATGTATTTTTTAGAGTATTTTCAAAGTTCCATTTGATTCTTGAATATAAGTTATTCTCACCCCTTGCCTTCAATAGGACTTGAGATCCAATATTTATCTAACCACATTTCAATCTTTCTGTGATTTCAGGTTTGGAAAGAAATCCCGGCCTGCAATGTATGATGTGAGCCCTATCGCCTATGAAGATTACAGTCCTGATGACAAACCCTTGGTCACTCTGATTAAAACAAAAGATTTGTAATCTTTTTTTGGATTATTTTTCAAAAAGATGGGATACTACACTCATTTAAATATTTTTAAGAAAATAAAAAGCTTAAGAAATTTAACACTTTAGCTGCTCAAGAGTTTTCAGTAGAATATTTAAGAACTAATTTTCTGCAGCTTTTAGTTTCAAAAAAATATTTTAAAAACAGAATTTGTGAAATTCATAGACTACGTTTTAATGTACTTTCAGCTTTCTAAATTGTATGCCTCAACTAATGTGTGCTCTTTTCATGGTAGTCGCTGTCAAGAAATCCAAATTAATTTCTGTGGTTGTTACAGAATAAGTCTATTCAAGAAGTTTCTATTTGACACGTGAGTGCTGGCTTTCTGAGTAGAGTTAGGAGAAACTTGTAGCGTATGATGCATAATACAGTATACCCGAAGTCTGAAATGTTTGTTTTGTGAAAAAGAAACTAGTTAAATTTATTATTCCTAACCCGAATGAAATTAGCCTTTGCCTTATTCTGTGCATGGTAATTTATCTCTGCAGTGTTGTCACACTTTGCAGAAACATTCTTTCGAGTTTGTTTTTTGTCAGTTTCGTAACAGCTGTCGAACTAGGTCTGGAAAACATCCATGTTGAAAGGGCCTAGCGAGACAAATTATGATACATTTGAATCTATATTTTTCTTTAAAACGTCAAGGTTTTTATATTGTGAGTAAATTAAAATTACATTTGCATTGTTTGTTGCTAAGAGGTAGTAGAAGTAGGAGGCGTACTGGTTCCTTCAGTAGTGAGTATTTCCCGTAGTGCATCTTTATTTATCTCCAGGACTCTTTTGTGGCTGTATTTGATTGATACGTGCTTCTTCTGATTCTTGCTAATTTCAGAGAATACTGAATAAATGTTACCAAGGCAAGGATGGACTTGTCTCTTTTGTTCTTTTTAAGTTATATAAAACATTTTGAATTTGATATTAATTGTCGAACAAACATTCCTGCTTTTTTGGGACATTTTAAATATCCAGAGGAGTACATCTCTGTGGCTGCCGGAGCTGTTCCCTGCACCTTCTGGGAGACTTTCTGACCTTCTGATTGTCACTGAACCCACCCTAGGTGCTTGTCAACATGAAGGGTGGGAAGAAAATAAGACGAATTCTCATCTGAGGTTTTGCATTCGAATTTGCCAGTGAAAGGCAGCACAGGACATTGAGGTACACTGAAATCCGAAGATGCTTTTCAGCATCATGTGCAGGCACCTGTGGTCTCTAGAAACCTCTTATACACGACTGTCCCGTGGAGGTCAAATAAATTGCCTTAGGAAACAGTTCCCTGGTCCTTAGAAACTTAAAGGCGGTTTAGAACCACTCTGTATGCCATTTCATTTTGTATCCAAAGTCGCAGAGTCATTTAAAAAAATGCATTTTTAAATTCACATGGGAACGTTTGGTAAGGCCAAGAGAAGCCCTAAAACCAGGTGCAAGTGAGTGTTTTAAGCAAAAAGAATTATTTAAGATGCTTTTTCTTCCCTCTCTACCCTCAAAACATCTGTCCCTAATCCTATAAGTGACATAGCAATACTCCCACACTCTGATTATTAAATGATACAGTGCAATATGTTAATATTTTTAGTTTGTTTAGTTGTTTGGAAGTGAAGTAGGAATAAAATATTAACTCGGTTGGTTAAGCATCTATGGGCAGCAGAGAAGACCCTGCTGGTCGTATGGCTCACAGACACCTCGATCCACAGGCGAGGGCCTAGCAATGGCATGAGCTGAGCTCCACTTTACTGTTGAGTCCCCTGCACACCCCAGGACAATGTCCACGCTGCTGGCTCTCCTTTCGTTTGGAAGCTGCTTCAATCACACCCTCGTAGATCCTCACAGTCTCCCAAATTCTTACATTCATTATATGTGATTCCCCTTAAAAGACTTGTTTGAAAAACTAGACAGTCTTTTATCAATCACAATTTGTCTTTTTAAAGCAAATTAATGGAACCTACTTGTTCAGACTTTGGGCAGAGCCTTCCAAGAGTCTGAGAGCGGACACTGAACACGTTTAATGACATTCGTTTGAAAAACTAGACAGTCTTTTATCAATCACAATTTGTCTTTTTAAAGCAAATTAATGGAGCCTACTTGTTCAGACTTTGGGCAGAGCCTTCCAAGAGTCTGAGAGCGGACACTGAACACGTTTAATGACATTTGCTTCTCCTGGAGCCCCTGTTCTGTGTCAGGCAGGAGGTGAGCAACAAGACACACACACAAGCATCCTGGCTCCTGAGTCTGCAGCTTGTTTTGAACAGACCTTCATCTAATATACAAACAAATATAGAATTACACTTGAAAGAGCATGGTGAAGGGAAGGGAAACTCTGCTGTTCGGCAGCTTATTGGTAGCAGAGCGGATTAGAATCTTGCTTCAATTGTTTACTCGCTAATGACTTTGGGCAAGTAACTCTCTGGACCTGAGCACAAATTGCATTTAGTGCAATTAAGATGGGGGAAGGTGAGAATGACCCTGGGACGTCACCAAATGTCCTCTTTCTCTACATGTAGATAAAGGACAGAGCAGAGGGGGTGGGAAAGGTGGACAGCACTAGACCAGGAGTTTATACACCTCGATTCTTATCTTAGCTCTTTCTCTAACAAACTGAGATAACCTGGGTGAGTTATTTCACTTTTCTGGGCCTGTGCTTTGTCATTTTTAATATTGAGCAGTTGGACTAGTTTCAGAAGTTAAGGCTTGACTTTCAGGCTAAATCTGATTCATGGATATGTTTTGGTTTGTCCTATACCATGTGTGTAAACAAGAATTTAAAAATAATTAGCATCTCTTTTTCTCACTCTTTCTCTTACACACACACACACACACACGCACACAAATCAATTTTCTGGTTTACCTCGAAAACTCAGAAGTCATGGTCACACTGTCTGTATTACTAGATTGGCAGCAAGTGGCTGAAACTGAAATGAAGCTGCCCTTTCAGGTAGACGGGCTCAGTCCCCACTACTCCCTATTGTCTTCCTGACACTAACAATGAAAGTTACCACTTATCGCTACTTTTGTTTTGTTGCTCCTTTACTTTCTTTCCATGGATAAACATTTCTCTGTAGCCATGCCATTGCAATGGATAAATGAACACTACATTGAGTGGGTTGTGTGTTTCAAGGAAAATGAGTGAGAGTACAGTCTACTGTGGAAGTGAAAACTATTTTATCATCTGTCTAATATGCAAAAACACCTGACTAATTGACTGGATTTCATTGCCTTCCTGGCCCCTGTGGATATTTGAGTTTGAGAGGTTAGGACTAACTAGATCAGAGATGTTCAGTTATTTTTTTTTTAACAAAAGCAAATTGTATTCCAATAAAATATTACACGGAAGTGTGGTA